TATCGTCTTCTACCATGACATTGTGATAGACGAAACGACAGAGTCAGACGATGCGCATGATTTCCGTTAGAGAAATTACCGGTTTCGTTTACTTTGAACCTATTATGCCCGTTAATTGTGCTTTCTTCGCCAGAGTCAGTAATGATGAGAAATTTAAATGCATGTGTTTTGAATTCAGTGTGTTTAAAGCTGCAGATGCCCTGTTTATATTCTCGGTGGTCGATCTGCAAAGTCATAAGTTTGCGTTGACTCTTACTTTAGGCTTAAAATCCGTCTTCCTCATGCACTTCGTCTTGTTCTTCTGTATCGTTGTCCTTAGGAGACCGAAAGGAAAGGATGAATTTCTTTTGCGTTTCAACAGAAAGGTAATTCCTGTGAAACATCTTTGTACTGTAACTCACGGTTCAGTCTCTCATAATAATTAACAGTGAATTATTCAAAAATACGCATGATCCAAAGGTACGTAAGTTTTATGGTGCAAGTTTAAATTAAACATTAAACGTCTCATTATGCATGCAGCTTCAGATGATCAATGTATGAATAAGCGTGAATATTGTTTCTACATAATGCAATCTCCGCGTTGTCAGCTCAGTTGTTTTCCGGTTGGTCAAGCCCATTTGGCAGCAATCTGTCACTGCCGAAGTCTAAAGTATGCCACTCGTCTGTCCATTGTGCAGTGTAGCCAGCGCAGTTTATTTTCCGTCGAGTTCATTTGTTTATTTGTCTTTGTAATCACCTTGACTCGTTCGTATAAACAGAAAGTCTAGTGTTTACGATGGCCACTGTCCATAGCTTTGCCGCACTTTCCCAATCATGCAGCGGTTACTCAATCGCAGAGGCACCGTTCATTCCTCTCTGAATGCAGATCTGTTTCTATCTTGATCCTCCGTGTTGCATACTTGCCTTTTGATTAACGCCTGCCGTATTTCAGCTCCCTCACGAGAACCTCATACACTTAAGCAAATGCTGTATGTTCAGTGTTCTTGTCTGGCAGCGCCAACCCTTCTTTGCTAATCTCTAAACCAACAGAGATAATATGTGTCCGGAAGAGAATAGAGCCATTCCTTAGCTGGTCCTTAAATTTAGCAATCATTATGCGAAGAAAGCAACGCCTATTTACAAATTTCAATGGTCGATCCTTCTTCTTCGTTAGAAAAACTGTCTCCATGCCGTAGGGCAACACTGACCTGACAGTGGCAGGGGACAAGCAGAATTTTGTGGAAAGAGTAATTCATATCTCAGTCCGAATATTGGGCAGATTTCCTAAGGAACTCGAGGCTAGGGCGAGTCTCCTGTTTAATTCTAGCTGAATAGTGCTACCGCAGGATAATGCGTGCGTCAAAGAACTCTATGATATTGCCTGGACGAAAGGAGGCTTACTGACGATACCATCATTTTTTTAAAATGCGGATAAGCCATATAATTATTGATTGCCATATTTAAATACCCGAAAGATGGTCTTGCTCATCCTTTCAGGTATAAATTTTATAGGCGTTTTAACTTCATTGTCATCGTTGCTGCTAATCGATTAACATGCATTTATCAGCAGCCTGGCCACTTCGATTTTAATGCTTTTTACATGAGAACAATTGATGCAGACGACTACTTGTTCTCCTTGTTTAAAACTCATTCAAGTTTACCGTTTTCACTTTCAGAGGCATCTTATAGTATCCTAGATTTGTTCTGAGAACGACCAGTGTTGTTTCTAAAAGTCTGAAACTAAAATTGAGATTATCCCTTTTGCAAATTCCGCGAAGCATCAAAAGAATGTTATGTTTAGTCGATAGTTGGCGGTCAGCTAGTAAACTCATAGAACCAGATAGAAGGGGGGGTTATTCTGTTACACATGCCTACGAAACTAGATGAACTCGATGGTGTTCGAACAGATATTTGTACGATTCAGCAAAACGGTGCGGTTAATCGCGCCTGTGCACTACAGGGTAAAATACCAAGCATCGGTGGGCGGCCTAAACAGTACCGTAAGCTATTAGAAACAAGAGAACGATGCGACTGAGCTGAGTGAGTCCAGAGAAGTGACAGGAAAATTGGCACTTCAACATCAGCCGTCTCTTGATCTTTATAACTGCCGATTTCCCACAGTTTAAAAAGCAATGTTCTTAACGCAATAAATTCAAAGTTATTGAAGGTGCGGTTTGTAACTAGCACAAAAACTTCTAAGCCAGTTGCATAGCTAACTGATAGCAGGTAGCTGGTACATTTTTAACCTAAGCTCGGCATGCCTCGTTTCACTCCCAAATGAATTTTTCAAACGTTCCGAACATGGCAGTGAAACCATACTGAATGTTTGATCTAATAAGTTCCTTGCACGAGCGTCCATATTGAAACCTACCGTTTCTAACGGCATCAAAATCTGCTGCCTATCCGTTTTCTTCACCGGGGAGTCTGTCTCAAGGTAAAGAAGTAAAGCCTCATCTTCGATTCTGACGAATTACAATATTTGTGTGAAATCTTGTTTCGGTATGACGTTATATTTTCTGGTCTTGACGATCATAGAGGCACAGAAAAGTTTTTCCGACCTATCTGATAGCTGATTACAAATCAATATCAATCAGTACAAGAACTTATCAATTATTTGCGTTGAAGAATGAACACATTTACGAGTTCCTGAGTGTTCGCTTTAATATTTTTTCTTCTAACCTTCTCCTTTTCATTTATTATCAATGAGAATATACTCATGCCCCTTCGAACCGGATTATAAATTATTAATTAGTATTGAATTTACAATGACTTAGAGACAGCCAAGAATAACCTGAGGTAATTGTCTCGAAGGACTCTGCTCCAGAGACAGATTACCTTCTGCCGACGCTCAGACGCTGGCGCAGGAACGGTAATGTTTCAGACACTGTCTGGCGCGTATGCCTCGGCGATCCGAACGAATAAACGGTCATCGAAACTGAATTGATGACTATAAATTTATTTGCCTTCCATCCAATGGCATCATCGGCAAACTATTCGTTATTCTGCTTTTTCCTTTTCATCACTTTTGTAAGCGATCGTCCGTGCAGATGATAGACGACATGATGAAAGATTTCATCATGCTTAGATAAAAAATCAATACTGTCTATGCCACACCCCTCCACCGAAAGAAGGCGGGAAACCGTTAATCACGGATGACGCAATTAACTTCGTGTTCGCATTCATTAACGTTTAACGTGCACCGCGGCTGAACCTCTTACGCTTTGTTCGAATTACCCGACGTACGGATCAATGGAATCGATCCAGCAGCAAACAGCCGTTTCGTCCAAAATCAAGAGTGATGAGC